GCAGGTTATTTGACTGACTAAGGTTTCTATCATTACATTTGATTTGATTTGTTCCTGCTCCCGATGGTTGGAACATTTATTCCATTCTGGTTCTTGTGAGTGTAGTCTTTGTTCACTTCACAATAAAAAAGAAACAGTTTTGAAAACTTCTGTATTCATTCTTTTCCTGCTTTGTGTGTCAACGTTTACGGTTGCTAAGCAACAGAGCATACAGCGGTAAAATCCGCCGAAGGGTAGACCTGGTCGAATTCACAACCTAAACTCTTCCGGTCTCCTTATTTTCAAGGACTTCGAAGGATCCAGTCTAGGTAGACCGCGTCCTTGGAGGACACGTCCTAGGTTTTCGAACAGAGCCCATGTTTGAATTTTCGTAGTTTAACACGTCATTGTTCATCACAGGGGAAATACTGAGATCTCTAAAGACTAAAACTGGTAGTTGGTTCCACAGGAGAGGAGCCTGAGAACTAAAAGATCTTAATTTAGGAAAATGAGACGCTGCAGCAGATCTGGTTAAAAACTTTATTAGAAACAGAGAGCGCTGCTTGCTGCACACACACTTGTAGCATGGCTTGTGTGCATTTCTCTATTTACATGTTTGCTCTCAAATCTCTGCCAGCAAAACACATGAGAACCCAAAACAAACAACCGAGGAGTAAACAACTACAGTACAAACAGTCTCTTAGAAAATACTAGAAATTATTCTTCTGGGGTGTAAAACGTAGTTCTCAAATACAGGTGTGGTTTTATTCTTTTAACATTTTATGTACAAAACAAGCCAACGTGGAGGAGCTGGTAGCAGCCGTCCGTCTGAACCTGATGCTGAGCAGAGGGAGGGAGGGGCGGAACGCCGAGTCCAGAAACCGGTTCGGACCTGGAGGAGACTCGGTTTCAGGACTCTTCCTGTTTCAGAACATCTCTTTTTAAACATTTCAGTTTTCACATTTTCTCTGAGTGATTTCATGTGATCCAAATTCCCATCATCTTTTAAACTTTAGTGGACCGAAACCAGGTCAGTTAGAAGATTTAATTCAAACTAATTTAATTCTACCTCAGAAATTCATAAAAGCCTTTAAAAAAAAAATCTTAAATCCAATATTTATCTAAAGAGGAACAAAACTTGATCCAAACAGAAGAAATTCTGTTTAACAGAAGAAAACGATTAGGATAACTCTGGACCAATCAAAATAAAATCATTCAATCAGAAAAGTGAACCTAGAACGTCGTCTTTGTCCTCGTTTGGCTCCCAGTAAAGGAAAACCTGCTGGATGTGTTTGGGTTGAAGCGGACCTACTGGTTCCTGACCCTGAAACCAAACGGAGTCATCAGATGGTTCTGGACAGGAACACGGTCACCCTGGAGGACAGGGATGGAGGACACGTCTGCACCAGTGCATAAAGGCCCGCCTTCAATCGCCTCCCCGTCTCAGCTCCATCAGCCAGGAGCTCAGTGCAGCGTCCTGATTTAAGTGTCCGAAGTCTGTGGGCTGAAGGGACGCGCCCCACGTGGGCGTGTCATCACCTGCACTCCACCGCCACGGTGTTCTGAGCCGGCGAGGCCGAGGACGGACTCATGCCTGTGTCTGAGGAGCCTGAGGAGGTGGACGCCGTGGTGTTGGATACTGAGGACGAAGGACAGATAGACAGTTACAGCCTTAGCACCGTTTCAGGACAAAGACGTAGAGGTGTCCCTCTCTGGGGTAGGGGAAGGGTGTCCCACCTTCTCTCTCCTTCTTTTTTAGTCTCTTCCTGCGCCGGTCGATGGAGGCCACCTCAGACTTCAGGCTCATGTAGTACTTCCTGATCTCCTGCAGCTTCTCCTGCAGGAAGGAGATCCTCTCTGTGCTCGACATGCTGTCCAACTCATCTGAGGAGCAGAGACCCGTTAAGTCAAAAACCATAGAGCTACATTCAGCAGAAACATCTGATGGTCCAAGGTCTCGGCTAGAGACGCTTCCTGAGGCTCAGAGAGCAGAACTTCTCCTCAAACATCTCAGACAAACAGCCTGAACGGCTCAGAGGTTCTTCATCTTCTCTGGCCTCAAAGAGACACAGCTGCTCATCACTTCCTCTGATCACTTGGGTTAGATATGCATGACTACTAGTTAATGCTTATATATGTGCTGGTTAGTTAATGGTTAGATGTGTACTAGTATCTGACTAGGTAACCTTCTGGTTCAAAAAGGGATGAAGAGATTATTAAGTTTACCAAGCTGCAGTGTCCACTTGTAGGAGCGCTGTGGGGAGGGGAAGCCATGTTTGTCTTTACTGTGCGAGGACGGAGAGGACAGACCGGGACAACGGGACTTCTGGGATTTGGACAGCGATGAGAGACGAGACTGGTCCTCGCTGTCGCTGCTGTGACCTGGAAGACGACCAGCACGAAGAGAAGATGGTGAGAAGAGATGAGAAGCCGGCCGGTGGATCAGAGGACCCAGATCAGCCTACCTGCTCCGTTCTTGTCGGCCTTGGCGGGGGTCAGGGTCCGTTTCTGGTTCCGTTTGTGTTTCTTGGCCGTCAGGCTGGAGTTCACGTCGTTCACCCTCTTCTGACCTGAAAGGTCAAAGATCAGAAAAAGTCACAACAGCGACCAGAAGACAGCAGAATGTGGCGTACAGCGCGGCGCGTCTCCTTCCTCACCTCTGTCCTTGTTCTCCTGCAGAAACAGCAGTGAGGAAGAGGAGGAGGTGCTTCCTTCAAAGCCAGGACTGGAGTCTCCCCCCTGCTCCCCCCGGCTGCAGCCCCGCTCCTCCTCAGCAGGGTCCTTGGGAGGGTGGGGCTCCTCAGAAATGACGGTGGGAGGGGCAGCTATGAGGAAGGATCTGACCTGAGGCTGGGGGGGTTGAATGGCGAGTGGCAGAGGGGGCGGAGCCTGGTTCTGCTCCCGCATCATGAGGAGGAGGCAGTCCGACGAGGAGGGGGGCTTCTCCTTCTCATCCGGGTCGTCCAGGTCCACCTCGTGGCAGACGAGAGCCTCGGGACCGATCTGAGGGTCCAGCTCTTCGGCCGGGGGGGGGCTTTGGGCCTCTGTCCCAGAATGCATCTCTGCAGATCCACATGGCGACAGCTTCTCCTCCTCCACCACATTATCCTTCTTCTCCTCTGGGCGAGGCTGCTCCTCCGCCTCCCCCCCTTCATCCCCGCTTTGCTCAGACGGCTGGGGCAGGGGGGGGACTGTGGGCGGCGCGGGGGGGCCTTCCTCCTTCCTGTCCTCCGTGCAGAGCTTCTTCTCTGCCGTTCTCTGATCTGTTGCTTTACGTTTCAGTGGTGAACTACTCTTCTGTTTAGGCCCCGCCTCCTCTTCCTCCTCCTCCTCCTCTGTGGCGGAGTCCGTGTCCGAGTTAACGGACAGGGGCTTGGTGGGGAGGTGCTGGGAGGGGAGGCATCGTAGGACCACCATGGGTTCTTCTTGTCTCTTCATCCCCCGGGGAGGAGTAGTCAGGAGTGTGACCTGCAGGGAGCTGGGGGCGGGGCTAGCGTTGCACTGCGGGGTTGTGGGTGGAGTCTCAGGAGCGGACTCTCTGGGATTTGCCCTGCGACCTTTCCCTCTGGGGGAGGAGCTTTCTTCCTCAGCCGTGCTGCTGGGTGAGGAGGGCGCGGCCTGCTGTCTCTCAGGTGGGAGGGACTCGTCCAGCATCACTTCCTGTCCAGGGGACACCCTGCTCTTGTCTTGGATGGGTAACGTCCGCATCACAGGACTTGCTTTATTCTTCTCCAGGTGGACTGCTGTCCCACTGGGCTCCACCGCAGGCTCCACCCCCTGCTGCTGCTGCTTCTCTGGTTGGTCCGCCTCCTCCTGAGGCATGCTGGGACACGGCGGTGCTGCGACCTCTGGAGACGCTGCTTCGGCCTTCATGTCATCAACATCAGCAGGTTCCGGTGCAGACGTCTCCCCCTCCTGCTCCTCCGGCTGCGCCGGCTCCTCCTCCTCCTCCTCCTCCTCTGGCTCACGGGTCTGAGGCTCAGATCCCCCTCGCCATGGAGACGGTTTCTCCGTCTTCTCCGGTCCATTGTCCGTTTCGCTGTCATCTGAGGAGTTCCCAGAATCTTCTGCGGGCAGAGACAGGCGGGCTGTTAGAGGAACAGGATCCTTACACAGAGCAGACTGAGCGGCGCCTTTCTTACCGTTGGAGGCCTGATCAGACTCATACATGCCAGGTGTTCTTTTTTTCCTGCGAGGCGTATCTGCACACAGAAAACCAACATCAACTATACTGAATAAAATGTTTAGTAGTCCATAAAAGTTCAGCTCCCCCTACCGTTTCCATTTGCCAGGGAAGGTGTGACCTCTGACCGCACGCTCCTGCCATTGGACTGGCCCTCACTGCTGGGGGTTTTGGAAACGCTGCGTCCTGAGGGGGTGGTCCTGATTTGAGGACGACCTCGCTTCAAGCCGGGTGGCTTCACAGGCGTTATGGATGCAGGCTTCTCTTCTTCTTTTTCTGGTTCTTCCTTATCTTTGTTCTGTCAGAATAAAAAGGGGGAAGAATTCATCCATCCATTCATCTCAATAAATGGCTGCCCAGGTAGGGGTCAGATCCTGGACAGGACCCCATCTATCAGAAGACCAGCCCCTGGGCAGCTCAGCACTAACAGCGACTAACATCATCATGTAGAAATTTATAAAGCGATAGGGTAACTTCCATAACCGCATTTCTCAAAGTAGCAGGAGTGAGACGTCTCACTAGGTGAAACGCCTCTTGCCGTATTCCTCAGAAGCATTTATTTCCACCATTTATTGAAAATCCACCCCCTCCCCCGTCACCTCAGGTGTGCCCCAGGGCTCTGTTCTGGGGCCCCTGCTCTTCATCATCTACCTCCTTCCCCTTGGCAATATCTTCCGTAAATTCAACATCCACTTCCATTGCTATGCCGATGACACCCAGCTCTACCTCACTAGCAGCCATCGTCCTCTCTTCCGCCCGCCTCCCTCACAAATTGCATCTGTGAATTAAAGGCCTTGTTCATCAACAACTTCCTTCAATTAAACAGTAGTAAAACCGAGGTTCTCCTCATTGGTACCAAATCAACTCTTTCCAAAACCGACAGTTTCCAAGTCACTATTGATAGCTCCTCCATCTCCCCCTCCCCCCAGGTTAAGAGTCTGGGTGTCATCCTCGATAGCACACTATCTTTCCAATCCCATATAAATAACATTACCCGGTCTGCCTACTTCCACTTAAGAAACATCAACCGCCTCCGTCCCTCCCTTACCCCACACACTACTGCCATACTTGTGCACAGCCTTGTCACCTCCCGACTAGATTACTGCAACTCCCTCCTCTTTGGACTTCCTCAGAAATCACTCCACAAACTACAACTGGTCCAGAACTCAGCTGCTCGCATCATAACCAGAACTCCCTCTATCCACCACATCACTCCGGTCCTCCTCCACTGGCTCCCCATACAGTTCCGCATTCAATATAAAATTATCATGATGACTTTCAAGGCACTTCACCATCTTGCCCCCCCATATCTGTCAGACCTCCTGCATGTTCCCACCCCCTCCCGTGCTCTTAGATCCTCATCTGCTTTGCACCTGTCTGTCCCCTCCGCCCGTCTCACCACCATGGGGAGCAGAGCATTCAGCCGCTCTGCCCCCCGCCTCTGGAACTCTCTACCACCCCAACTTCGAAATACGGACTCAATTCTCCATTTTAAAATACAACTCAAAACCCATCTGTTCAAGATTGCTTATTCTCTTTAAAAATATCAATTTCACTGTCACAGCCTCTGTATTTTTTAAATGTTTTTAAATGTTTTTATAATTATAATTTTTATTTTTTCTGACACTTTTTATGTTTTGTACGGTGACCTTGAGTGTCCAGAAAGGCGCCTTTTTAAATAAAATGTATTATTATTATTATTTTATTACGCCAGTCCTGATTGGCTGCTGATCGTGAGAACTGCACCACCTAACTGGTAACTGCGTCATGATGCGGCATCATTTGAAATAAGAACCTCCAGTTAGAAGGGTTGTCTGGTGAAACATCTCACTCCTGCTACCCTGAGAACCGGGGTTATGCAACTAACCTATAGATATCATTCACAGCATTGGTTTCACTGTCTCACTATGGCATATGGAGACTCCCGTATTGCCAGACATCGTATCTCTCGCGTCCCCTATCACTCAGCTGTGCGTGCCGCAGAGTTAAAAGCAACTGAAGCCAGACTAGGAAGAGAGATATCCAACTGAAAGGACCGAGCAAAAGCAAGTTGTTAAGACCAACTCGCTGCATGCATGTCCTGAATGGACCCACCCCTAAAAGGGGCCCAGGACGTGGCCATACCCTGAGTAGAGTGGGCATGTAGGCCCCCGGCAGCCGCTGTAACCCTGGCTTGTATATGATACAGCAATTGCTCCCACAATCCAGTGGGAGAGCCACTGCTTAGTGATCGGCTTGTCTCTTAAAGTGCTGCTTCGTTCACAAAGGAAGCCTGGGTAGACGGAAGCAGAGCACCACGTCCCCCTTTTTCCAAGCCTCACAACGCTGATGCATGGAGGCTAAGATGGAACCAAAGATGCCTTCCAGCAGGATAGATGAGTCCAAAACATCATCCCTCTCATAGTATGACGGGTTGGTGAGGTGGAGCCACCTCGTTATTTCCTGTAGAACTTGTTCCTATAGATTTTCCTGTGGCCTGGACTGCAGGTGTCAGTTATAACGGTGATTTCTTTCCACACGTTCAGGTCCGGCTTGGTGGCCATTTCCTCACACAGTACAACTTGGAATGCAGAGCATGGAGGACACGTTCAGAGCTTTCACAGCAACTGCTGCTGCTCCATCAAGGCGGACTGGAAGTGGTCAGCCTTGGATGGCAGTGTAAGGTTCTTCAAGGATGTTGGCAGCTGTGCTGCCAGCCAGTAGTTCCACTGGGGGCATGCGTTCCAAACCTAAAGTCTTTGCAGCCTTTAGGTTTGGAATGAAGAATTTATCCTCGTCGTCATCCCCTGAAAGGACGAGCTCCGAGATGACTTCATCTTCATCCTCCATCTCCAGGATGTCCTCAACCGGTGAAAGTGTACCAGCTAAATCCGCTTGGGAACCCTCAGCTAGTCTGAGTCTGGGTTGGACAATCCTCCCCAGTTCGCTGTTGTTGCTGGGTGGCAGCCCGCTTGATGGCAAATACGGCTCTCTGCCAGAGAGGCTAGCTTGGTGAGCTAGCCGACTACGTAGGCTCTTTATTGTGAAGCGGGAACAGTCTGTTCATGAACCCGGGGCATCAACCGCCAGGAGGGCGTGTTCCAACCCAACCATGTCGAGGAAACCGGATGGGGGCCTTACTCAAAATGTTGTTCCTGCAGCCACCAAGGCGAGCCTATGAGATGCTATCTCCTCTGGTGTGAGGTGAAGCAGGGTCAATTTCAGTAACCAGAAAAGTTGAGTGGAGGGAAAAGAAATGTGGCAGACTCGGTCACTGAAAGGTTTTATAGAGATGCCGATTTGCTTTTCCATTGAAACTAGAACCTGCCAACACTGCTAAAGATAACAAAACCTGCTTTAATCACCATGGCAACCCCAGAACTCATAGTTTATAATGTTTGAGTGGAAAGTTTTTAAGGCCCCGTTTTATATGGAGACGAGCTGGATAACTCACACAGCGGCGTCTTACCTTCACCTTTTTCCTCTGCCTCTTCTTAGTTCCTTTCTCCGCAGGCCAAATGATGCGGTCAGCCTTCACCCATTCATCATACCTGAGGGTCAGACACCAAAGTTAGACGGATCAAACCAAACCAGCTGCCGTGTGGAGTCAAGGACTGGCTTTTATCCACCATTAAGGACACCCGGCACCCAGCAGGTATGCAACAGTCTGAAGGAGTCAACAAGCTGCAGGAAGTCACCGTCACACTGACCTAACGTTCCAGCCGTAGTAATGCACCAAGTAGAATTGTTCTCCGTTGTCCACATCCGTCTTCTTGATGTGTGCCTCATAGATCTTCTGAGTTTTTCCTCTGCCGTACTTCACCCTGACCTTTGTTCCGGCCAACGAGTCTCCATCCTCATCCTCCTCGCTCCTAAAACAGCGAAGCAAGAAAAACCCAACAAATCTCAAATGCGCGGGATCAAACTCAGCTTCATTCTCATGCAGATGCTATCAGACTTGTTTTCTCCAAACTACTGAAGAAGTAAATCTTCTGACAATCAGCCAACATCAAACTGAACTGCACTTGTTTGCTTCACAAATGAAACCTACAGATCCTTCTTTTAAACGTTTCCCTCTGAATAATTGGACAAATATAGCTGATTAAAAATAGATCTAAAAGCCATCTATACCGGAGCCCTATTTTACCTTCTTCTCTTTCAGCCATCTCTGGATGAATTTGGGAAAGGCATCCATCTGAAATGGATGGATGTCTGTCCCAAACACAACATGGATCCAACCTAGATGCTGTCATGCACGGAATAATTAGCCCATAAAGCTCAAACTGGAAGTTTATTTAGATTGGATCACGTTTATTTATATAGCAGCAATTCACATCTGCAGAAACTTTACAGAGATAATTCAACCGGATTGGTTAAGTCATGGAAAACCAGATTTGATTTACCATATTTTCGCGACTATAAGGCGCATATAAACGTCTTTTTTTCCCCTCAAAATGTGCGGCGCGCCCTATAGTGCGGCGCGCCATATGTGTGTTATTACTGCGGACGTTGTGAGATCAACATGAGAAGGTTAAAGGGGGAAGTGTGGGCGTGGCTTGTGTATAAAAGAACAGGTATGTGCTTTATGCAGAACATTGTTGTCTTAACAACCCTAAAAATGGCAAAGAGACACGCCTATGAAGCACAGTTTAAACTGAAGGCTATCAGCTACGCAGAGGAACATGGAAATCGAGGAGCCGCGAGAGAATTCAAGATTAATGAATCGATGGTTCGTAAGTGGAGGAAGATGGAAAACGAACTCCGACTGGTGAAGAAGACACAGCTGAGTTATTGCGGACATAAGGCGAGTTGGCCCGAGTTGGGGGAAAGACGCTGGATGGATGAGGAGATGATGAAAGAGTGGTTGAGGGAGGTGAATGTAAGGAGACCAGGTGTGTTTTTTCCACGGATCACCATCGCTGTTCATCTGTGACTCCATGCGTGCCCATCTCACAGCCGATGTGAAAAACATGGTGAAACAAATGAACGCTGTGCTCGCTGTTATTCCGGGAGGTCTGACAAAGGAACTTCCACCGCTCGACATCGGTGTGAACCGGCCGTTCAAAGTAAGGCTGCGAGCGGCGTGGGAGCGATGGATGACAGACGGAGACCACAGTTTCACGAAAAGTGGAAGGCAGCGCCGGGCTGCCTTCCATTGATTACGCCACCATTGATGGATTGCTGATGCTTGGGCTGACGTGTCTGCTGGCTCTGTTGTTCCAGCTTTCGCATCATTTCCGAGGAGCCGCCCGGCACGGAAAATGACTGACAGAGAAGAAGGGGAAACTGGCATGTCTAATTTAGCGCAGCTGTTTAATTCAGAAACAGAGGATGATGACTTCCATGGGTTTGATTAATACTTTGTAATAAATACATGAATAAAGCACAAACATACTCAGTTTTGCTCTCGCTCTATTTTTAAATACGCAGTAGAGGTATTTAAACGTAGTAGAGGATATTTACGGGTATATAAATCCCGCGCCCTATAGTCCGGTGCGCCTCATGTGTGTTAAATACAGTAATGGCACACATAACTGAGACTGCGCCTTTTAGTACGGTGCGCCTTATGGTCTTGAAAATACGGTACTAGTGGTTCCTAGAATTTCTAAAAGTAGAATGGGAGGCAGATCTTTTAGTTCTCAGGCTCCTCTCCTGTGGAACCAACTACCAGTTTTAGTCCGTGAGGCAGACACCCTGTCTACTTTTAAGGCTAGCATTAATTCTTTCCTTTTTGATAAAGCTTATAGTTAGAGTGGCTCAGGTTATCCTGAGCTA